CAGGCTCCGAGGGTTGCAGCAGGCCTCACCCAGTGGTCTCTAGGGATTTTGTTCTGATGCCGCGATTCGCGGTATAGGCTCTCTACACATATGAATAGATACTCATATGAATATCTATTCATGTGTGTGTGTGTGGGGGGTTGTACCAGAAATCAGACTCAGGACTTCCCGCGTGCCAGGCAAATCACTGTGCCGCTGAACTGTATCCCCAGCATGCCATCTTGTATCTGCACACGGTGTGTCATGTGTTTGCACATGTCATCTTTGCATCCTTGAAATTAATCCCCCAGATCACAGTGCATCATCCTTTCAATGTGCTATTGGATTAGTTTGCTAATACCTATTTCATTGAGGGTTTTGTTATAATTCACCAAATTGAACCTGGCACCTTTGCCGAGCTACACCCTTAGCCTCTTTCTTAATTTTTAAAGTTCTCCAGGCTGGGCTTGAACTTGTGATCCTGCCTCAGCCTCCCCCAGAGCTGGGATCATAGGAGTGAGCCAGCACACAGATTTTTTTTTTTAGCTACATTCTCACTATGTAGTCCAGATTGGCCTTGAACTTGAAGCAGTCCTCTTGCCTCTGCGTGGTAAATACAGATATTACAGGGGTGACTGCCACCATGCCCAGCATGTTGAGTGTTTCTGCATCTACACTGATCAAGGATATTGACCTGTAGTTGTGTCCCTTGTCTGGTTGTAGTGTCCAGGCAGTGCTGGCCTGGTAAAATGAGTGTAGCACTCTCTTCAGTTTTCTGGAATAATTTAAATCTTTTTTCTTTCCTTTTTTCCTCTTTTTCTTTCCCCCTTTCCCTCCTCCCTCCCTTCCTCTCTTCCTCTTTCCCTTTCTTCCTTTTTTTTTTTTTTTTTTGAGACAGGGCCTCGTTATGTAGTCAGGCTGACCTTGAACACACTACGTAGCCCATGCTGGTATAGAACTCTGTGATTCTCCTGCCTCAATTCAGTGTGTATAGTAATAAATCGCTATTATTTGGGGGCCTAGGGATTGAACCAAGAGCCCTGGCATGCTCAGCAAGCACCCTAGCGCTAAGCCACCCCCTCAGCAGGGGTTTGTTCTTCAGTTTTCTTTGGGAATGAGCCCCAGGCTTCACAGCGGGCTGTCTCCAAGGCTTTTGTTGAAGGAGTTACTTGGCCTGGCTGGGCTTGAACGGGCATCCTCTTCCGCCTCCCAGAATGCAGGAATGGCAGATGTGTACCACCTCATCGGGCTAGTAAGGGTTCTGGAGATGACGTCTAGTGAGCAGCCTCTCTGCCACCTTCATAGAGTGGTTTAAATAATGAGAACTAAAACTTCCTGTCACCAGCAGGTAACTCAATGGATTACTGGGTCCCAGTGGGCAGGGACTGTACCAGTTTGGCATAAGGACCTTAAATTTCAGTATCGAGAAGGCCTTTAAATCTGAATTATTTGATAATATAGGGGGGCCGGCCCCTTAGCTCAGTTCTTTAAGTGGCTGCTTCAACAAAGCAGTCAGGCTCAGGTTGCTGTGGTTCAATCTCCACAACCCAAGCCAGCCAAACCTGCCCTGCAGGCATTCGGAGATAATATACACATTGTCAAAATCAGAGAATTTTTTTTCTGTACCGGGAGCCAAACTCATGACCTCACACTTGTCAGACATAAGCTGTGGAGCTGAGCTATATCCCAGGCTCCCAGAGATGGGATTATTACGTATTTTAAAATTTCATTGCGCTTTTTTTTTTTTTTTTTTTTTTTTTTGAGACAGTCTTGTCTAGTAGTCCAGGCTGTCTTTGAACTCACAGCCACTCTCCTGCCTCAGCCTCCTGAGTGCTGGGATTACAGATATGTGCCTCCACGCCTGGCATCACTGGCCATTTTCTTGTCCAATCTTTTTCAGTGATACAACAGATTCCTGTGACTTACTGGTAATTATAGAAACTACAGTAGTGCATCGATTTTTAGGTGCCTTCGAACCCAAGCACCAGATACTTGAACAGTGTTTGTAGGAATCGAGACTTATGTTACAGCATAGACTGATACAGAAAAGGGAGCTGTCTTCCAGGCAGGGGGACAGCAGCAGTGTTAGAGACCGCATGGTGATGGCGGGATGGGAGGGCAGGCGGCTGGGGCCCTCAGTGAAGCGTCCAGCAGCTGACTACGCCCAGGAAGCCTGAAACCTGTGGTGTGGCCTCGCATAAATGTTGCTGCTACCGGGAGCTGCTGCTGCCGTGTTCACCAGTCCGTGCATTGGGACAATGGGCTACATCCATTACCTGTTTCCATCACTTAACCTGGTTTCTGACAAAGGTTTGTAAGTGGAGTCTCTGTGCAGTTGGAGTAATTTCAGTTTACAAAGTGTGAATGTTGTGTCCTGCCACAGACTGTGATGTTCTGTCCTATATCCTTATGTCTTCAGCAAGGTGAATTTTCAAGTGCAAATAGACCCACAGGACTGGTTTCTAGCAGGTGGGAAGTTTCCCTCTCATGCCAAGAGCAGTCAAGAAGTAACTTGTCATGGGTAACCGAGACTTCACGCACACTCTTGCATACACCCGTTTAATAGAGGTAGGCAGCAGGGTGTTGTACTGTGATTAGGAGGCCAGCACCCCTAGGTGGAGAAGAAGCCGCCGTCATTCTTTCGGGAATAACCTCCATTGGTGGCTGCAGTGTGAGGGGACACTGTGGAGAAAACAGAAGAGGGGGTGAGCTGTGAATTTCAGATCCTCTCCCTTTCCTGGAACCCAGAGTCACCCGTACATGTATGAGTCCTATGAAGAAGGTTCGAGTAGTAGCTGGGGAAGCTGGTGTCCAAAGGACTGATGCACAGTAGTTATGGGTTCCCCTTCCAGGTTTTGGCCCTTTGCCCTGCTGGAGGTGTTTGTCACCTACACCTAAGGTCCAGAGGCTCCAAAACCTGAATGAATTTCCTAGCTCTGTCTGCAAAGGTCAGGAGTGCGTTGGTGCAAGTCCCAGATTCCTGAGTCCTTTCGGAGGCTGTCGCCCCACCCCGCCCATCCCCCTGGGCCCTCTCCCCCTCACCGATGGCTCCCTGGATGCTGTGGATGGAGTCCTTCGTAGGGTTGATCCACTGTCTGATGCTAGCCAGGGACGTGGTGGGGGGTGAAGGAAGGAGGGGTACACAGCCTCCAGGGAACTGAATCTTGATTCTAGATGATGAGGAAGAAAGAGTGAAACCAATCATAAAGCAGCTGAGGCAGGAGGAGCAAAAGTTTATTTTTTTGCAGTACTGGGGATTGAACTCAGGACCTTGAGTTTGTCAGGCAAGTGCTTATTCTACTGAGCTATCTCCCCAGCCCAGGAGCAAAAGTTTGAGACCACCCTGGGCAGTTAACTTAGCAGCTGAGACCCTGTCTTAAAATGAAAAATGATTGAAACTTTCCAATTTGATTTGAAACTGTCTCATTGCTATTTGTTTCTCAAAATTATGGAAAAAAAGAAAAATGATATTTAAAAAAAGGTGGGGGCTGCTGATGTAGCTCACTGCAAGGACCCTGGGTTCAGTCCCCAGCACTGCGGAGAGTAAGGAGAAGGGAAGGAAAATTTTGTGAGAGTTCAGAAGTAAAGCACCCTAAGTCCATTTTAAGACTTTGGAGTTAACCAAAGTTTGGTTGGTTGGTTGGTTTTGGTACAGATGAGCATAATCTTGTAGGCTTTCTTGCTTCCTTCCTTCTTTCTTTTTTTGTGGGGTCAAGACTGGGTCTTGCTGTATAGTCAGCCTGGCCTTGTACTCGCTCCTCCTGACTGGCCTTGAATTCACAGCAATTTTGCCTCAGCCTCCTGATTACAGCATATGCTACCACACTTGGCCCACAATCTTGGAGGATTCCTCTTCTAAAAATACAGAATTTACATTACTGATAGAAAAATACAGGGCCCAGGGAGGTAGCTCAGTGGTCTAAGCACCTGCCTGGCAAGCGCAAGGACCTGGGTTCAGTCCCTGGTACCACATGCCATGGTGGCGCATGCCCGTAATCCCAATGCTGGGGAGGTGGAGACAGGAGAAGCGCTGCAAGTCCAAGCTGCATAGCAAGATCATGCACCAAATAAACATAAGAATAATACAAAATTTTATACAAATGACTTATTTCCAGGTGACATTTTATCTATGGACGGCAGCTTCCTTTGGGTGAAGAGGCTACATCTACACTTACTCGTGAGAATCCCGGATGGTCTCCTGGTGTAACAGTATCTCACTTTTGTTCTTGAAGGCCCCACTGTGGTGGTCATACAAGGCTGTTAGGCGGAAATCGAGGTCATCCTTTGGTATCTGCAGAGGCACATCAGTCCTTCAGGGTTAACTCGACCGTCTCTTGGGTTCTCTTGGGCTTTACTATTCCCCAGAAATTAGTGAAATCTTATTTGGGCCTGAAATCGGCTAAGTCCTCCACACTGAACTGCTGTATGTAATGAGTTTTACCTCTCGTCAATACAGACTCGCTCCCATTGCGATGTCTACAGGGTGTGAGCTCATACTGGAGACACACAGACATTACCCCCAACGTGGGGATAATAGTCGGCACCACCTCACTCATGGTTACAGTGCTGTGGTTTTTTGTTTTGTTTTTAGTTCTTGTTTTAATAAAAATGAGATATTTGCTCCAGTAACCTCCTGGAGCAAAAGCTAAGCCTTATAATTTGATTAATTGGTTTTGGATTTGGTAAGATCTTGCATCAGGAACAAAAGGAAAGATGGCCCAGCAATCCTTTCAAGAAAGATATTGATGAGTCCTAAGTGGATGTACAAAGAAATGGTTTCTCAACCCTGAGTACCTTGGGATCAGAAAAATAAGCCTCCCGCCGCATGGAGGTGGCTGTAGGAGTTGAGCTGAGCCGGCTCCAGGGGTCCTGTTGCTGGTCGAGGTGAGTGGGGTTCTTGAACGGCGATTTCTGCAGAAGAGAAACTACATCCGGGACCTGGCTGAGGCGGTAGGGCAGTGACATCATCTTAACTTAGAACTGACAGATGAGCCAGGAAAACTCGAGGAGCAGGGCGGGCATAAGTCCTGGGTGGGAGTAGGTGAGGAGGGCTACAGGTTGGCCTCCTGAGGGTGGGGGGTGGAGAGCTAAGATGCATGACAGATCCAGAGCTTGTAGTAGTAGCCAGTGCCCCAGGAGGAGCCCGGCCCAGAGGGAAGAGCTGCAGGAGGCCTGCCAAGTGTCCTAAAGGGAGTGAAGAGGGTCCCCAAGAAGCGGACCGGGTCTACGGGGGTAGGAAAAGGGCTTTGGCAGGCAAGGAAGGGCCAGTTGTTGACTGAAGGAATGTCAGAGAAAGTTCATTACGCAGTTGTGGGGCCAGAGAGATGGCTCACTGGCATAAGTGCCTGCCTGGCAAGCACAAGGTCCCGAGTTTGATTCCTGGTACCAAAAAAAAAAAAAAAAAAAGCAATTCTTCCTGCAAGCAGGAATGTGAAAGCACACATTGATTCCTTCATTACAAATCAAGTCTCCATGTTTTCTACCACAGTATTCTGGGTACCTAGCACAGTGACCTAACACATGATAGTAAAAAACATCTTGTTTGAATCACTGATCATATTCCAGTGAGGGGCTGGGGATATAGCTCAGCGGCACAAGCAACTACCTGGCAAGTTCAAGGTTTGATTCTTGGCACCAAAAAGAAAAATCCAGCGAGGACAGCCACCACCATTAGCTTCTCGTGCAGCCTTTTCGGCATTGTAACCCTCCTTCCTCTCCATGTGGCCAAGAGCTCTGGGCCTCCCCTCAGTAAACCTTAGTGGAGCAGTAATGTGCCGCGCTCTGCCCCCGCGGAGAGTGGACCGGTGAGACGGTGTGAGCCTTGCCGCAGGTCTGGCGAGCTCTTCCATTCTCTGCAGCCAGCTCCCAGGGCTGTCCCCCTGCTGTCAGCTTGAGGATGAGATTGTCTTTCACAGAGAAAGGTGAGCCGGTTCAGGGCCGTCTGTACACTGCTTCCCTCCCACCGCAGGAGAGGTTGCCCTTCCTACTCCACAGTCGCCTCCTGCCCTGGACCTGGGCCTTCCCCACGCCTGGGCCTGCGCCCTTCTGCGCGCCCCCTTTTCTGACCCCAGCTCATCTCCCATTGCTCTACTGTGGTCTCCACCCCCGAGTCCACTTCCCTACTGAAACAGACTTTGAGAGGCAGTACTTGCTGTCTCTACTTTGTGCTTCATCTCTGCTCCCATCCCCTTCAGCCCCATGCAGTCTGGCCTGTGCCTGACACTCTTGCTGGTGACAAGAACCCTTTCCAGGCCTAATCGTGTGTGATCACGGGCAGTTGTGACACTTAGACAGTTCCCTAAGTGCATTCTCTGCCTGAGCTCCAGCCTCTGGGTGGCCTTGTGGCCCCTGGCTCATATGTCTCGGGTTCCTTCTCTCTGTCCCTTACACAGTGGGATTCTCCAAGGTCTGGTTTCTGCTTGTCTTCTATGCACTGGAGAAGCTGATTCTCTCCTGTAACTGCAATATGGGCTCAGTGAATCCTAGACACTTCTTCACCAGAACTTTCAGTCTGACTGCCTACAACTCATCTCCATCTCAATGGTCCACAGACACCATAAGACATACCTAATCCATCTCAACACTTTTCTCCCCCAAATCCCTTCCTTGTGACATCACATTGAGTGAATGGCAGCAAGCCCCCGGGCGTTATCTTAGACTTGTCCTACCTCTTGGGCCTATATACAGTCAGCAACCAGGTCCCACCACTCCTACTCTTTGCATCTTTCTCAGTATGCACCTTAACTGCCACCCTGTGTCACTACTGCAGGTATGGTGTCACTGTGCCTCTCGCCTATTCAATTCTGTCATATGTGGCCTTCCCTCCCAATACTGGGGCTTGAACCCAAGATCTCACTTAGCTGTATCCCCAGCCATTACTGATTTTTTTGGGGGCTGGGCACTCAAGGTCTTGGTAAATTCCCCAGGTGGGGTTTGAATTTACTACCTTCCTGTCTCGGCCTCCTAGAGAGCTGGGGTTACAGGTGTGTTCTATCACACAGCTCATGTGCTTTCTGCAACATCCATCTAACTGTCTCACTCTTGAGTGCTTTAACTGCCACCAGGATCCCGGTCCCTCCAGGATGAAATCCTAGCCCACAGCACACTTAGCCACTAGAGTCACTTTCCAGCTGCGGTCACTCAAGTGCCTCCACGTCGTGCCTCGACTTCAGCTTTCGTGTCCGTGCATGTGGACCTGCAGCTTCCATGTCCTTGAGTGCTTGGTTCCCGTTCCCTCCTTGTGACTCAGCCCACCTGAGCAGCTGCCTGCCTCATTTGGGGGTCAGCACTCATCTGCTTGGGGAAGCCTTCCTTTGGCTTCTTGGTTCTCACCACCGCTCACACGGAACTGTCACGAGGCACGTGCCACTGTGCCAGCATGGTTACTGCTGCTTTTGCTGATCCATTTTTTCTCCTGGCACTCCCCGAAGGCAGGAGCTCTGGCTAGTGCATCTCCATGCCGTCAGCGTGAAGCACAGTGCCTGACATGTGGTAAATAAATACTGCAGAAGAGGAAGCTCTTTGACATTGTCATTAAGCTTAATTTTAATTCCCTTTATTTTGCACCACTTTAATATCCCAGGTCCTTCCACCAGGAAAAAAGATTAAATTCCTAGATCACTGACTACACACACACACACACACACACACACACACGTTAACCAGAAGACGGAAGGATAAACTATAACCTGGCTTCTCAGAGGATTTCACTTACTCCATATATATCTTTGGAGAACACTTTCCAAACAGAAGAGGGTGGCTAGGTGGACGCTGCCCCCATCGCGTACACTAACCACTGCTGTGGGCTGCGATGGCCCTTTGTCCATGTAGAGTTCTCCTTCCCTCTGTCCTCTGCTCGAAAGCATTCTGAGCCGAGGACAATAGTACATGTCTATAATCCCAACTACCAGGGAGGCTGAGGCAGGAGGATCACACATTCGAGTCAATTTATCAAAACCTTGTCTCAAAATAAAAACTTCAGGGTTGGGGATGTAGATTATTTAGGAAGCCTTTGGTCCAATCTAAATAAATAAATAAATAAATAAATAAATAAAAAACATTTTTAAAAAGTGAGGGGCTGAGGAGATGGCTCAGTGGAATAAGCGCTTCCCTGGCAAGCGCAAGGGCCTGAGTTTAATCCCCGGTTCCTAAAAAAAGAAAGAAAGAAAGAAAAGAAAAGAAAAAGAAAAAGGGGGAGGGGGCGCTAGGAGTGTAGTTCTTTGGCACAGCGCTTGCTTAGCATGCACGACACTTGTGTTCAATCGCCAGAACTAAAAATAAGCAAAGCAACTACAAACAGAAAACACTAAGAAACCTGAACATGAGGATGGAAGGCAGACTCCTCCGGTACCCACTCAGTAACTTTACCAGAGGTCTTTGTTACCATTTCTGCCCGTCACAGCGACAACCATAGTACCTTGGAAGCCCGCGGTTTTCCCAAATAGGAGTCGTCGTTATCTAACGCAGGGTGCTGGAACGGGTCCCGGGTGGGAGGCATACTTAGAGGCCGGGCAAGAGTCTCTCTTTGGGATGGGAAGCTAGCGCAGCCCCACCACGACAGTGCCCGCTAGGATTCCCAGTCCAGATTGTTTGGAAAGCCCAGTTTCGGTTGCCAGGCAACCGCTTGGCTCGCCGTGCCAGAGATGAATTGCCTTGGCGGGAGGCGCCACCTGGCGGTTCAGCTCCGAGAGCCGGGCAGCAGGAAGCGGCCCCGAATGCAGAGGGAAGGCGCGGCGCAGCGGGCCGAGCAGACCAGGACTTGCCCTCCAGAATCTTGGTTGGAAGGCACCCTCTTCTCAAAGATTTTTGCAAAAGACTTCAGTAGAAGAAAAAAAGGATTTTTGCAAAAGACATCAGTAGAAGAAAAAGTCCTATAAGATGACCCAGAAATTTCTCTCTTGTGCCTCACAAAATGTTTTTCTATTTTGAAAGCAAGGAGAGGCCTGGGGGTGTAGCTCAAGGCGGTGGAGCGCGCAAGCCTTGGGTTCAGTTCCCCGCGCGGGGAGCGCAGGGGTAGAACGGCGGGGCCGAGAGACGGGGCGCCCGTGCGAGCCTGGAAAGTCGCCGGGCGATGCCCACGCTCCTTCATGAGCCCGGCTTAACCGTGCAAGCCTCGGGGCTGCCGCAGAGCGGCTGTGAACACGGACGTGGCGAGCGGGAAGCACTGTCAGAAGCGGCTCCGGCAGGGTGCGCGTCCTGGGCGGCGCTTCGGCCGGCGGCTGGAGGGCACGCGGGCCCTTTCCCTGTCGTCGGCGATCACGCCGTGTCGGCTAATTCAGAGGTGCTTAGAAACAGCCTCTGGCCCGGAAGGGAATAGAAAACGTGACTCTGTCGCGGGCGGTTCTGCGGGAGGACGCTGCTCCCGCGCGCTTGGCGTCTGCCCCGCGCCCGCCGGTTGCGCCGGTTGCGCCGGTTGCGTCCCCGGGCGCGCGCGGCCTGCACCGCGCGGCTGCGGTTGCCATAGCAACCGGCAGGTGAGCCGCGGAGGCGCGCGCGGTCCCCGCGCCGCACGGAAGAGGATGCGGTTGTCAAGACTACGTGGATAGGAGGAGAGGACGAAGGGAGGAGGAAGGATGGGCGGCCTTGGCGTCGCCGCAGGGAGGTGACTGAAGCGAGCCCGGCCCCTCGCATCCTCCCCCTGTGTACCTCCCTCCCTCTTTTTTCCTCCTTCTGCCAGCAGAAGCTGCCGCCGCAGCACCTGAGCCGCTACTGCCGTTAGCTCAGGACGACGCGATGGCTGAGCCCGGCCACCGCCACCATCAACCTGCCGGAGGCAGGGGACGAACCGAGAAGCGCACGTCTGAGCTTCTGTACCTCCTGTTCTGGGCTGGGACCGCCTTCCAGGTAACCCAGGGAACAGGACCGGAGCTCCACGCCTGCAAAGAGGTACGGTTCACCCCTCCAACCCAACCTCACTTTGGTCAGAAACATCTTAGATCCAGGCAGAGATCTTAGGAACCCAGACACAGTTTCAGAGGCCACGGAGTTTGGATTTCTTTGGGGTGAGGTGTTGGGGGAGGGAAGAGGATGATGCTGGCCTCAGGGGGAGGCTGACCCACTGGATGACTCCTGAAAATAGATCACTCTCACAGCTGGGGTTGCTGAGCTCAGCGAGAAAGGTCCCAACTCCGAAAAGAGGGGCGGCCTGGGTCCCTGGGTCAAGAACGAGTAAAGAGGGAGACAAGAATTGTTTTCCAGATGAGAGGAAACTACCTGAAAAGTGGTCGAAAAAGATTATGCCCTGAGTGGCAAAATAGCGGGAAGAAGGGTGGTAGGCTAAGGAGTTGGCAAGGCCAAAGAAAGTAGTTGGACTCAAATAGGAATCCTTGTGGTTTTCATTAAGACTTCAAAAGCCAGAGTCTGAAGGCAAAGGTGGAGATGTGTAGAGCGGGCTGCAGGTTGTTGCTGACTCTTTCGCCTTGGTACTGAGCACCCAGATACTATGTAGGTGGCTGATTGAGAGGCTCTTCTAGCTTTGACTCTCCTCAGCATGCTTGTTTGCTGTTAGGACCTTGGTCCACACTGATTCAGACTTGGAGCTCTTTAATGGAGTGTTTTGCTGCCCTTATTCCCCGACTTCTGCTAACATATGTTATGTCTTTGTAGAGGTGTTTCTAAATTGTTGACAACATAACTCAGATGACAAGGAATAAATATCTTCAAACCAAAGATACCTTTTGAAAATTCTTTTCAGAAAGATGCAAAAAGTTATTAGGAATTAAAAAATTTAGTAGTTTCTGTGTTATTGAAATAACAATATTTGGTTATGCCCTAAGGATTTTTTGGTAAACACGCCAATAGCAACAATAAAATATTCATAAGAACTATATCAGAGAAAGCAATAAAAATTTCTGTTATCTGTGAAATGTGAAAGTTTTCAAAATACCCCAAGAGTCTTTAGCACTTCAAAAGCAAACCCAGTGTCAACTTTAGCTAAGGTTTTGAGAAGCTAACAGGTTCTTTATGAGTCATCAGTGTTAACTGGTCAGCAAGGGAAACTATCCCACGTGGAGATATATTATTAGTAAGGTGTCCTGCTCATTAAGCTGTCCACAGCACATCCAAGTATGAAGAAGTAGAGACTTGTATGTGAATAAAGATGCTTGACTTGGAAGATCCCTAAATATGACAAAAGGGACTCCAGTCATTGGGACTTTTGATAACATTTATTAGTTCCCATGATGACCTTAGCTGGCTATCTATATACCCACCAAGAGTTTTCATGACATGTTTTAAATGTGGTTGGGAGCAGGATGATTTTGTCAGTTTCTCTGGCTCGGTGGCCTTGGTAGCCTGAGTTGTAATCAACCAAAATAATGAGTCCAAAGAAGTCCACTCTCTAAGAAGCATGTTGCTGACTCCTTTGTGGAAGATCAGAGTCTTACAGGTCAAATACCGGTTCTTGTTGCGATCTTTGTCGACTATGAAAAAGAACAGACACTTAAGACATTAAACACTGCATATCGTCTTAGTTTATTTTTTAATTTTTTTTATTTATTTTTTAAAGAATACAAAATAGTAATAGAAAAAAACAGCATTAGAAATGATACAAAATTTCACTAAGCAAAGTAATAGAAATTCAACAATAGTTGCTGTATCTTCGTTTAGAGGAAGGGAAGAATATTGCGATTTAAGATCACTAACTTGCATGAAAATTTTTTTTAGTTCTGCTCAGATGATCAATGTTTACTTAAGCAAATGGACCCAGCAGAAAGGGCGAACTTAAGGTGTGGCCCTCATCACACCAGCATTCCGGTATTATTGCCAGTTTTTAGCTGCAGACTGGGCATTCCAATAACACCTTCAGGAAGGACTGCTTTGGGGCCTGAAAAAAATTGCATCTTAATCCCAAAATAGAATTACTTAATCCCCTGCCTCACTTGGGTTTTTTAACTATGACCCACACCCCATGCCAAGTTATAAATGGTGTGGGAGGCGCACTCATTGGCTGCAGCCATCGGCGAGCTCTGTTTATACTCTCTGTGAGCAAACAGTGGCAGCCGAACACCCTTGACTCCAAAATAATAAGGAACATAATAAACTCATTATTACGATGTTCTTCCTTTGGCAATATGAACTGATCCAACAAGTTTTGGTGCTTCCAACCTCAAATAGTAAAAAACCAGTTCAGTGTAGACTAGACCTTTTCTGTTCTTAATCTTCATATGAACTTCTGCTAAACCCACATTAGGCGTTAAGGTCAAAGACTCTTACCAGGTCAAGGCTGATCCTAATGGCAGCAGTGCTGTGGTAGCCTACCTGTGAAAGCTGAGACATCGCGCTCGATCTAATTAGAAAAGGAGAGGTTTAGCTTGAGGTCTAAGCATGAGTGGCAAAGAACTGGGAGTTATGGCCTATTGGAATTGTGGCGGGGGGGGGGCTTGGCGTTCCTGTCACAGTTTCTGTTACTATATATATATATATATATATATAGAGAGAGAGAGAGAGAGAGAGAGTACAAATTAGAATTAAAACAAAAATTACAAGTGATACAGAATTTCACTTAACAAAGTAATATGAATTTCACAGTATTTGTTGTAATACATAGTGTTGTCTTCAAGGGTTGGGGAGACAGCTCAGGGGCTTAAGCACCTACCTGTCACAGTTTTATAGTAATCAGGGTCACCAGAGGAACTAAATGTCCTGTATGATGTTTGTCCATGAATCATTTCTTTAGCCCTGTGCTAATCCTGACTTAAGTTCGGATTGGGAGCCAAAGGTGAGTATAGTACAATGTATCTAAGTCAGACGGGAGGGGAACAGAGAACTGCCTTACCGTGAGCCCCCTCGCCATGAGGCTCCAGTGCTAATTGCCCCCAAAGGGACTTCCTAACCTGTATTCAAAGTCCTGGGAGGCCTGGTGAGGTGGCTCGTGCCTGTAATCCCAACACCTGGGAGGCTGAAGCAAAAGGATCGTTGTGAGCTGGGAATCTGATAGACGTGAATTGGAATACATTTGTTGAATGAGTAATGACTCTTTCATTTAGTAAAGATGCAAGTCATTTAACTTCTGACAGCCTCGGATTCTGATCTATGTAGTAGGGAGGGTAATACCCTAATACTCATCTCACAGGACTGCTGTAAGAATTTAATCAAATTAGATAATTCATGGAGAATGCCCGGTTCGTATTCTTAACATAGCATGGGTGCTTATTATGAAATGTCAGTAGGCAAAAAGTTATGTACACAATGACCTATACATGGTGACATAAGGTTAACATGGGGTAAACAGGGCAAGGGTGGCAATAAAGAGGTAGCTAAGAATAGAGCCACAAAAGTTTATTTGAGCAGTTGGCCATAACCGGCCTCAGAAATAGTCAGTAGCATTCAGTGGGCACAGATGGTCGATAGAAGCTGTCGAAAGGGAAGATCCGGGCCAAAGGTCCACAGGTGGACCGTGGAAGCCATTCTGGAAATGACATCATGGTGCCAATGGCAGAAATGCGGAGTAATGCGGACAACAGTGGAAGATAAGGTTGAGAAGGTACATGCTCAGTGGAGAGTCCCCAAAGGATTTCTGGTTGAGATAGTCTGCTCAGAGTGGATGACCAAGACTAGAAAATAAACATGGTTGGCACAGCCAAAATGTGAGAGGAGAAAGAGAGGGAGGGAGGGAGGGAGGGAGGGAGAGAGAGAGAGAGAGAGAGAGAGAGAGAGAGAGAGAGAGAGAGAGAGAAATCCCGTAGGTGCGGGATTTGAGAGAGAGAGTGGAAGGGGTTCCTAGCAAAAGCACAGAAAACGCAGCTCCAGAGTGCAGAGCGATCCCTTCTTGGTTCTGGCTTCCCTGGAATGAGTCCTAGTGGCAGGCAGGGAAAGGTACGGAGGCTGCGGCAGAGGGTTCCCGGGCTTTTATCTTTCCTCCTCTGTTGTGGTCATAATGATGGGGGCTTGAACTCCACGGTGAAGTGGCTAGATCTGAAAAGCAATCCTGGGCTTTCAGAGAAGATTTTGCAAAATTATAAATTGAAAATGAGTCTTGGGGTTGGGAGCCATCAGGGTAGGATGCTTAAAACAGTCCCATATTTGATGAAAGAAGGAAAATTAAACTCTCCATTTGTCATGAAGTACATAGAGCAGCAGGACATACTGTTTTTGTTTACTGTCAGAGGTAACAAAGGAATAATTCATTACTGGGCTCGGAAGACACTGGGAAGGTCACTCTGTTTCCCGACTCAAGTAAGAGTGTGCTAAACCTAAACCAGACTGAGAGTGATCAGGCTTGTTTAGAAAGTTCAAAAAATTATAAAAGTGGCACACCTCATTTGCAGACAATAGAAATATAGGTAAAAAAAGAGAATATGATGAAATCACTTATAATCACATCATTCAAACTATCAGTTTAATGTCTATACTTGTGAGACAGAGGCAGAGCAGTGGTACAGAGTGTGGACTGTGGGCAAAATTAGGCTGAGCTCGGTCTCCAGCTCCTCCTCTCTATTACTGACTTTGAGAAATTAATCTCATCCGTGTTTCTTCAGCTTCAAAATAGGAATCTTGGAGGCCAGGGAGCTAGTTCAGTGGTAGAGTGCTGGGGGCTTGCGCAATATGTGTGAGATCCTGCTTGGATCCTTAGTGACTCACAAGAAAGAGAACAGCCCTGGGCGTGGTGGTGCATGTCTGTAATCCCAGCTCCTGGGAAGCGGAGGCAGGAGGGGTGTTGCGAGTTCAAGACCAGCCTGGGCTACAAAGTGAGCTCAAGGCCAGCCTGCGCTGCGTGGCGAGACGCTGTCTCAGAGAGAGAGAGAGAGAGAGAGAGAGAGAGAGAGAGAGAGAGAGAGAGAGAGAGAGCCTGGTGATAGCATTCACTTAATTATTATAATGTAACAGCAAGTGAGTTAATACATGCAGTGCTTAGGCCAGTAATCACTAATGTACCTGTTGTAGAA